CCCCCAAAACTCGCTCCCAGCCGAGGGGCCGGGCCCCCGGAGCTCCGCCAGCTCCCCCGGGGCTCAGCCCCCAGCTGCGGGCACCCAACTTCGGGGCAGCGCCGCCGGGACCGCCCGCGACCCCCGGTCCCGAGCCCCCCGTCCCCCCCGGTTGGGCTCCGCAGCCCCCGGGGCTGCTCGCTCCGGCCCGGCCCAGCCCCAAGCCCAAGCCCCGAGCCCCGAGCCCCGTCCTTACCTGCCGCTGCCCTGCCTGCGCCTGCCGCGGCCGCGGGACCCCCATGGCCCGCGGGGCTCCGCTGCCCGGCTCCCCTTCACCGCCCCCTCCCGCGGGAGGAGCCGTTAACGGAGCCGGGCGGGGGGGCGGGAGGGGGGAGCAGGCCGTTAGGGGTCGCGCGCGCGCTGCTGCTACAACCGCTGCAACCGCTGCCGGTGCTGCCGGTGCTGCTCCCGCGCCCCCCGGCACCGCTCGCGCTCTGCCCGCCGCTCGCTGCCGAGTGCGCCCCAGCCGCCGGACGGGGAGGGGAGGGCGGGGGCGGGGCCTCTCCCCCTCTCCTCCCCGCCCACAAGCCCGCCCCTCCTCGTCATTGGCTCCGCCGGCTCTGCCCCTAGGGAAAGCCGGTTTCTCATTGGTCAGCGGGGCTGTCGCTCAAGGCCCCGCCCCGCCTTCGCCCTGCCCTGTGAGGGAGCGGGCGGCAGGTGGGGGGGGGCCAGCCCCGAGCCTGAGGTGCCGGCTCCGAGCTCTGCCCCTGCGCACCCGAGCCCGGTCTGGGCGCTCGAATTTCCCTACATTTCCCTACATTTCCCTATTAAAGTCCTGCGGGAGGCCGTGTCTGCGATCCCGGGGCTCGCTGCCACGCACACGGCGGTTGGGAGCCTCTCCTCGCTGCCCGCCCTGTGCTGGGCTCAGCGGGCAGGGGCTGCCCAAGCGCACAGTCAAGGTGCAGCACGCCCGAGGCCGGCCGAATTTGGGGTTATTGTGCTTAACCCATCCCCTAACGCGCACCTCACATCCACACTCGTACACCTAAGCACAGCTTCACGCGGGCTGGTCGGTGGGACAAACTTTAAGCCATCACAGTTTATTATAACAACCCTGGCAAGCGTGACCCTCACCGCTTAGTGCTCGGATACCTGAGGGAGTGTTACTTTTGGGGTCGAAATAACACGTCTGAGCGCTGCCAGTCCTCTGCCGAGCCGCTCGCCCAGCTGGGCAGCGGGTTATTTCTGCACAGGAGCAAGACCACGGGGGATAATGTTATTGCCTTGGCGAGGAGCCTCAGGAAAACAAATAAATAAATAAATAAAAATAACGATGTTATAGATGGCATCCTTCCTGGAAGGTCGCTTTATTTAAGAACTAGAAGGAAAAAACGCCAGGGGAACGGTGAGGAGCTGTGAGTGAGCGCAGGCTGCCCCTCAGGAGCTGCCCTTGCAGCGGGCGCTGCCAGCCGCCGCTAGGTGTCCCCTGAGCCGGGGCTCTGAGCTCGCTGCTTTTTGCCGGTGCTGCCTGCTCAGTCACCGACCTGCCTCGGCTGTGGCTGATTTCCTGCAGCCCGGCTCGTCAGTGCGGCCGAACTGTTCCGTTCTCAGCTTGGCTGCGGTTCCTGTGCGAGCTGAGGAAGGCGGGTACGGCGCTGTGCGAGCAGGTAGCAGAGCCGTGGCGTTTTGTGTGCTAAGAACAACATTTGCATCTACTTACTGGGTTTTATTTTAAAGACTCGTTTTATAAAGCACTTTGGATGCAAATTGGCTTCCTCCAAGCATATTCCGACTGCAGTCCCAAAGAACACTAGGCTGAAACAACATCGGGCTGAAGTTATCTGTAAGTCACGGCATTTCCTTACCAAATGAACAAATGCTGCTCAGTCCCTACCAGACCGCAGCGCTGAGATTAACTCCTTCCTGCACCTAGGGTGAAGTATGTCACAGGGCTTAATTTGGAGACGAGAAACACTTACATATGCTGCCGATGTGGTGCCTCTGAGGCTGCCGCCCACCAGTGAAGATCAGGCTGACTGTGGCACAGCATGCGAACAGGGAGAGACTTCTCAGCTGGCAGAACGCGCTTCGCGATGGAATCGTGCTACCGTACTGTTGCTACCTCACTTCACAGGCCGAAACGATTACAGCCAGCAAGCCAAATGTGTTTCGGTTGTATTCCCAAAATTAAACATTACCTGCACCTTGACAAGATCCAGCACACTGATATGTATTAAGGTTTTGCTGTGAGAGGAGTCTGAAGGCTTCCTGCAATCACTGTTTTTTTTTTTTCCCATCTTTCTTTTCCTTTCCCTTTTTTTTTCCTTCTTTCTTTCCCTTTCTTTTTTTTTTTCTCTCCCACTCTCACGCCCTCAGTATCATTCTTTTTGGCTTCCAGGCTACCATCTGTGTACCCTCAGGGAGTCAACAAGAGAAGAACAAGGGCCAGAAAGCAGAACACAGGTGAAGGGAGGTAAACAGGAGCTTCTTGAAATAGTAAAGGGCTGTTCAAGCCTCTGGAGCACGAAAGCAAACAGGATAAGAGGAATCCCCTGCCCAAACTGAAAACTGAGAAATATTAAAATGTAACTGAAAAGGGTACAGAGAAAGAAGACAACCAATTCTCCTTTAAGTTTCTAATTCTTCCAGGTTGCAAGTATTTTACTTGAACTTTCTAGTAAAGGACACTTGCTTTGGGATAAGTTGCTTACAGCAGAGCAGTCCAGCCCTTGGTGGTATGATCCAGGGTGCATTGTAAGAGTTCAGCCAGTGGCCAGAAAACATACAGAAGCAAGGCAGATGATGTCCCACAGGCCTCAGCTCTGATTAAGAGGGGTGCCAGCTTTTCCTGCAGTGTCTGCACCTCACCCCCTCACATTTAATTTCAAATAGGGGCAATGCCTGCCCAGCTCAGCCACACTGAAGCCAGTCCACAGACACTTTTAACACACAGGGAGTTGTTTCAACACCTCCTACGGGCTGTTTGTTTCCAGTGATGTAAAGACAAATCTAAACCCAAAAGTGGACTTTTCCACTCGCTGGGGAAGTGGGTCCGAGTGGGATCCCTGCATGTGGCGCAGGAGGTGGAGAAAACATCCGGTAGCCACATGATGAGGCATGTTCTGCTGACACAAGGCACTCAGGAACAGGCAAGCTGAAGAAAGTTCAGGTTTGTTTCCTCAGCCTTGGGCGCAAGCCTAGAATCTGGATGAAGCAAGTAGGCGCTGAGCACAAGATCTCACCGATGCCTAAAGATGTCATCTCACTCTCACATCTCTCCGCTGACATGGCTCAGTTATTTTCGGATGCAGTGAATGGGGTGAGGTGCTCTGTAAAGCCTGGCCTTTGGAGCACCCTCGGCTCCCCCTGGTCACACCAGAGGAAAGCTGTGGGCAGCAGCAGGAGGCAGCCGCTGGCTTCGCGCCCTCCCTGTGAATCACGGAGCCATCCGCAGGCTGGAGCTAAGGTCGGCACTGCAGGCAAATCCCCAGACTGCAGGCTTCTGTAGATCCAGCAGCCCTGGAGCCACAGACACACAGGAGCTCTTTTTCTAGTAACCACAACTGTTTGGCAGTTTCTTGTACTGCAGGGTAGGCTGAGGGTGGATTTTTGGTCCTCTAACCCCAAGCTGCCCTTCTGCTTGGACATTATTTGGGTGACGCCGTGTACTCACAGTCTGCAAGGCGTCCATTTCACACGCTGCTCTTGAAGCACAAGCACAATTTACTACGCTAGTATTTCATCCCACTGGCTTCCCTAAACTATAAGCAATTCAGTGAAACAAAACGTCCTTTGTATCCTCTGAAAATGGTTTTGAAAGCCCACATGGAGGAAAATAGTATTGGTTTTAATTAGCAATATCCTTCAAATGAATCCCCTATTAACCAGAGGAACATGCAATATTTCATCTCACTTCCTCTAGTTTACTTACTACTGCCTCTCTCCTCTGTGGTTTACCAGCAGGAAACCACTGGAGGGGACATATCCAGATAAGATTAAACAACATACAATTATTATCTTTACTATTACCAGGCTGGCAGTTTTTTCTGCTAGATGCTGAAATGAGATTCACCGCCACTTTGGCTTCCATTCACCGTGGAAAGAAGCCATTCTTTTAATTCCACAACACCAGCCCCCAACTGTTAAAGGCTGTATATTTTTTTTTTCCTGTTCCCCTCACAGACACGTACTTCAGACAATAGGCACGGTTCACCCTAGTCAAAGGCAATAGGAAGCAGCAGTGGGTGTCCTGGCAGTGGACAGATCGACCTCCAGGGTAAGACCATGGTACAGCAAGGCAGCTGGAGCCTCTCTGCTGCTGAGGAGCTCTTAGGAAGCCACCAAATGGCTTCCTTCTAGCAGTGGTGACACAGCCACCTGCGTGCCCGACTGAACACATTCTGTCCTGGGTTCCGCCTGGAGGACTTCCAGTGGACACAAAACCTCAAGGGTACAGAAGAGAGGCAGGCAGAAGCAGCAAAAAAGGCAGATTTCTCCTGTGCCCTGCTGATCTCACTGCACCGTGGATAATCTCAGTCTGAATTCCCTATCCATTGTCATGCAGGGTAGCATGCAACCACTTTGCAGAGGTGTGGGATGACTTGCATAAGGCCTGTGAAATACACAGCTATCACACATACCACTTTTCACGAGAACAGGAGCAATAATAACTAGTACCTAACAAGGATGATCAGCTTCTTCTTGGGAAAAAAAAAAAAAAAAAAAAAAAAAAAAAAAAAAACACACCTCCCACAGCCTTTTATGTGGTCAGTGCTCTTCTGCACTTCCCGCAGAGCGCTGCTGCGCTTTTTATCAGGAACCTTCAGCGACTAGAAAAGACATCTCTAATCCCTGAGCTGCTCCACAGATAGCGAGACTTCACTCATTCCCAAGGAATTTCTCCTGCCAGGTAACACAAAGTTCACCCAAGAAGGGAACCTCCTCACTGCAGATAGGTCGCAACACCCAACTCTGCTGAGGAAGGAGGGGAAAGGGCTGGAGTAAACTGGCGTGGTGAGGCATGTGGGTGAAGTCAGCCAGGGAAAGAGCCCGTGCACCCAGAGACAGGCTGTTTCAGCACATCTCCCAGGCAACTTCTGCTTGCAGGTCTCTTAATGTCTGCATCTCACTTTAGGCAGGCTGATAATAGGCCCCAAAATTCCATTATAATTATCACTGACTTCAGGTTTTATTATAACCACCCTTCTTTTTTTTTTTTTTTTTCTGGTTGCCATTACTTTGACAAGCATGCTTTCTGGGACTGACATTTTCCAGACTTCATTTTAGCACACGTCAAGTTTGGGGTATTTGAAAGATAAAGGAAAATCAGTGGAGCTATTAAAGCACATGAAGATTATTTTCCACATGGTCCAAACAGAACTTGTGCATTGACTAACTCAGAGAAATCTGAAATTGAAACTGTAAACATAATTATTTTGCAAAAATCCTTAGTTCTTGATAAAATAAATGCCCAGAGTTGTTTGTTTGTTTTTTTTTTTAAAAAGAAGTTTTATAGTTGCAGCATTTTTCAGTTGGCAGTTTTACTATGTTCATTAAGGCTTTCTTATGAATTATTTTAACAGTCTGTAATGAGATATAATTGGATTTTTTTTTTTTCAGAAGTGGAAAAAAAAGATTTTTTAATATTTTGACTAGACAGTTCTTTCAATAACTGAGGCAGGCTGAAAAAGAGAGGACGCTGAAATCACTATTGATCTCGCTACTTTAATCTAATTTATTTGGGAAAGACTAAAGGCAGTGATGCAAAGTATGGGAAATCCATTGATAGACAGAGAGATTGATCTTTGTTAAGGGCATTCTACTGGAAGAAAACTTGTTAATATCTTTTCAATCTCCCATAAATTCTTGGACTTAAAAGCTCTAAAGGCCCATTTGTGATAATCCAGTTTGACCTCCTGTATATAACATGTCATTGAACTTCCATGAATTAATTTGTGCCTCAGCTAGGTGTCTTCTAGAAAAATTTCCTGTCTTTCTATGTGCGTTCTCGCTGATGGAAAATTTACTGAAGTCCTTGGTAGGTTGCTTCAATTACATTCACTGTTAAAAACGTGTGCATTATTCCTAGTTTGATCTGTCTGCCTTTCAGTTAATGCACCTTGCTTTACTTTTGTCCACTATACTGAAAACTCCATTCATGCTGTGTCCTCTGTGATGGCACATACAGATTATAACTGAGTTATTCCTCAGTCAGTTCTCTTAGAAAGTAAATAGCATTCTCAAGAGCTTTTTGCTACAGTCTGATCTGTTTTTTGTTTCCCACAATAATTCTAGTGGCTCTTCTCTGATTTTATTTCCCTTCAAGATTTTTCTAAATACTTTCCTGAAATAAAGGAGAAGGTAGATGTAGATGCTATGCTGGCAAGATCCCCTTTACCAAGCATGTATCCATGATACGTTGCTATTGGACATATTTGTTAATTACTTTTCAAATTGTGCCAGTAGAATATAGGCTCCTATTCTATCTTGCATCTCTCAGTTCTGTTTTTAAGGCATTCAGTTTGAAACAGCAGATCAACTAGAAATAATCATGACTTATTCTGTAGACCTATTATGTAGTGTTGCTCTGCTGACCAACATTTGGAGTTGAAATCCGTAACATTTGAATTCAGAGGAAGACACAAATCTTATAGAAGCCATTTGGCTTAGTGCATACATCAAGTGTAATGCAAATTCCCTTACCTTTGATGGCTCACACATGGCCCAAAAATGCATTTAACTCTTTATCTTTGGGGTTAAGTGGTAGATGATGAACTCTTACTTGGATAACATACACATGAAATTAATTTCACTGGTAAGTCTGCCTCACGCAAGAGAAGCAAAGGTGAGCAATCTTTAGCCTGAGCCACATCATAACATCTGAACTGCTCTTGTTCTGTGCTGTGACAGCCTTCCAATAACACTGCTTCCTAAGCTTTCCTTGCAGAAAACACTCTTTCTCCACTGGAATTCACAAAAGACGGGAATTGAGGATCTCTAGACCCTAAAGGTTTGTCTTCCAGATGGTACCAGATACAACATGTTATTTGATGGATCCACTGGTGCTCTTTGGAGAGGGCACCTGCTTCTGCCCACTGAAAGTTGCTGGAAAGAATGGTAACTGGGAATTTAATTTCTCACACGCTTGAAGAACGTGGACACACCCTCTGCCCACATAGTGTGTCTCCTGGTGTTTTGAAATTGCTGTATCATGTTTTTCATCTACCCCACAAGTTGTGGGCATTTTTCACAAATTATCTCTTCTTTGTCATCCCTAGCTCCATTTTCCCGTTTTGCAGCCTGCTAAATCAGTAACAGTGTAGCAGGAAACAAAGAGTTTCTGACTCATCCATCATGAGGCATCTAACAGTTCAGTGAGTTTTATTTTTCGGCTATGACTCTTCACCTGGCACGCCGAGTGGTATGACAACATTGCCTTTATGTTTTTTCTGACGCTGCATTAAAACTTGTGAATTCACTGAGTGCTCTGCTTCAGAAATGAGCAAGCCACAAAAGACACGTTCCAAATACACGCAGTTTTCATCATGCTTAAGTTACAAGTGATTCAGACCAAGTTCTGGTGGTCTTAGACCTGATTTTGTCCTGCACCAACCAGCCAAAATTGTGAGCCCTGCTGAGGGGTAGGTCCATGGGGCCTGGTAGCAGAATGGTCAGAGGGTCTGTGCTGCTTTCAGGACATGTGGGTCCTCACAGTGTTAAATTTAGTCACATGAATTTTTCTCTGCAAACTTGGTCAAAAGTGGGTCTTTGTATGGTGCCTCACAGAACAATGCAAACATTCCCAATCACCTTATTTCACGGTTTGATTGCTGTTACTCTCATTTGCCTGCAATCCTTTACAAATCAGATGCAGAAGTGAAAAGATCATTCATCCATTAAATAGATCAGTGGACACAGTAACATTCACCATGGTGTTTGCCTGTTCTACCGGTTGGCTGATAATGTAATTACTCTTTGCATAATAGCCAAAAAATGAGCAGGCAGGTGGATCAAGTTTCCAGAGAGCTTGCCACAGATTCAGTAAATGAGAGAGTGACTTTCAGGTAATCTCCTGATTCTTCTTGCTTTTGAAAGGCTGGTATTGCTGTCTTCCCAATTTTGTGGAACAAGTGTGACTGTACTAGGAGGGTACTGCTTCTTTCTCTGGCCTACTTTCCTTTTCACACATGTTACAAAGAGAGACTCTGGCCACACAAACGTTTCTCCCTCAGTACAGAGAAATATACTACCTCTCACCTGTCAAAACAATGTCACTCCAAGGTGAGGTACAGAAAAGCTGCAAATTGGCTTTTTTGTTTTTTCCACCGTGCCTTTCACCTCTTCCCACAGCAACCACTCTCACTCCCCATTTTGCATATACTCTTACCATGGATGGAGCCAAGCCCAGATGCTCACTGCAGAAGTGATCACAAGCTCCTTAGTTCAGGTTACTCCAAACTTGAGGAGGGTCGGGAAAACAGTTATGAAGGACCACATAACTCCACTCACTCAAGGAACAGACAACTCAAAATAAAGGAAAATGCATTTAGTCTAGCTATTTGTTTTGGCAGGTGAAAGTTAGTGTCAATTATCCCTGATGCCTCATGAAGCACTGTCCTACAGCTAGTTGAAACAGGCCACTGTTGAAATAACAAAGACATAGTAACGTGAGATAAGGCTGCTGTTAAATCTCTCCTGAGCAGTGAGAAAGATCCATCAAGGGCTGCAAAAGCACTATGGGTACAGAAGTAAACCAAGGACTCCAGCCCTGAGGCAGATTTCCAGAGGACCAGTAGCAGTCCCTCGGGAAGGAGCATAGAGGAAGACAAAGCACCCTGACAGGAGTGAAATCTTCTTACAGAACTACTTAGCAAAGGCCAGCATGTGAGACATTAATTTTTACAGCCTCTGAAAACACAGGATTCTGGCTAGACCACACAGGAGGTGAAATATATTCTCCCTAGCTTGAAGGTGGAAATAGCAACAACAGATAACTAAAGGACATCTTCAAGGTGACATGAAAATTTTGACACAGCCAAGAGCTGAGCATAGGTCTCCAATGTCTCACCTTGCTTCCCCCTCACTCAGGCTGCCAGGCCCTGTGCACAGGATCATGAGAGGCAGGGAAAGCTGCCTCTTTTTTTTCTTACAAAAAAAACACTATGCTGTTTTCAGTACCTAAAAGAGCCTCTTGGGTATTTCTGTCATAGTGCAGCTACACAGACCAACCTCCCGCAACTCCCTGCCAGCCTCACATCTGTAGGCTCTGGACCCTGAAGACCAGCCTGCACTGAGGAACCCAAAGGTGATGTAAAGCCAGCATTTGTTGCTCCTCTAACAGTGCCCGAATGTTACACCAGCCCAATAACAGGTTTCATTATTATCAATTTCCATCTGGAATGATTTGTAAAATCCAAAACCAGGAACATTAAGTTGTTCCAGAAGACAGAATCTGCTGTTGAAACAACAGATAGGACTATAAGAAAAACAAAGGGAGAAGAGAGATATGAGAAGAACTGGGAAACAACAAAAAGCGTACTGGGGGAGCCTGAAATGAGTTCACATAAGGCTTGATGGCAATATTCTTATTCATACTTAGTGTATATTAGCATATGCGGGGGAGATTATTACTGTCTTTGGGACATCAAAATCAGATCCATCAGGCTCTGAAAGCAAGAAAGCTACTGTCTGGAAACATCCTCTAAAATTAACAAGTCAGTGAAACTGCTTTAACATGGGGAAGCAGGTCAATCTACTCTGAATTTGTTAAGCAGATGATGCTTTGAAATGGCCATGGCTGCTGCTTCTAAAAGTGATTCACAGATATGCTTTAGAAGTAATGCTTGAATAGAGAAAGAAAAGGCACTGCACACTAAATGTGTTCCAAAAAAGACAGCACACCCAAATTTAGCTTCAGCTTTTCTTTTTCAGTCATCTGGCAGCAATGGGAAGCTATGGTGGGTACAATCATCTCATGTAGCTCAAGCTGTCCTAAAAGGAAAATGAAAAGTTGAGAAAAAAAGCCAGGCAGCGTATTTTGTCTCCAAAATCTTCCGAGGCAAGGTAGCAGATGACACTGGTATCTGGACATCTGCTATGTTGAATCTGATGATTCCTCCAGTCACAAAAAAATTCTTTTCAAGGAACTCTCCAAAAAGTTGAGTCAAGCCCTTTAGTAACTCCAGCTATGTGACTTTAACTTTTCTGAGACGAACACTGACTCTTCGGCCAGGAAGCTGCAAGGTGTGGAGAAGAAGGTATATACTCTGTTTTCTTAAATAAACCATACAACTGGCACTGTGGAAAGAGGAAGGTGCACACACACACACAAAATCAAGGATACAAGCTTATCAAAACTTGTCATTTCAGCAGCTCTCAGTGTGAAGGACTGCATTTTCTTGAAAAAGAGATTCATACTAGGACTACTACTTAATCCTCTTTTTATGTTACCTCTTTTTATGTAGGTTAATAAACTGCAGTCTACCCAGGATCTTTTCTTAAAAATCTATTAATGGCTGTGAATAAGTGTAGATATGTCTGTGTGTGTATCTGTGTGTTTTTAGCTGGTGGATTTGAAAAATTCAAGAGACTAAATAATTAATACAGAATAGAATATCCCAAGCTGGAAGGGACCCACAAGGATCACCAAATCCAACTCCTGGCTCCACACAGGACCACCCAAAAAATCAGACCACGTGCCTGGAAGCATTGTCCAAATGCTTCTTGAACTCCATCAGGCTCTGTGCCATGACCGCTGCCTTGGGGAGCCTGTTCCGGTGCCCGATCACCCTCTGGGTAAAGAAACTTTTCCTAGTGTCCAGCCTGACCCTCCACTGTCCCAGCTCCATGCCATTCCCTCGGGTCCTGTCACTGTCCCCAGAGAGCAGAGCTCAGCGCCTGCCCCTCCGCTCCCCCCGTGAGGGAGCTGCAGGCCGCCATGAGGCCTCCCCTCAGCCTGCTCTGCTCGGGGCTGAACAAACCCAGGGGTCTTAGCTGCTTCCTCAGGCATCATCCCCTCCAGGCCCTTCACCATTTTTGTAGCCCTCCTTTGGGCACTCTAATAGTTTTACGTCTTTTTTTATAGCGTTGTTCCCAAAACTGCACCCAGAGCTTGAGGTGAGGCTGCACCAGTGCAATACAGAAACCACTTACAAACCAGTGAAACAGGAGTTAAAAAGGACAGCTCAGACAAGAGGATGTTAACAGACTTTTGCTAAAGCGCATGTCATGATAGAGAGCTGAGCACAAGGCACAACAGCACATTGCTGTTAAGGCATCAATTTATTTGTTCTCCCTGACTGCATATGGGGGAGGCTGAGAGCCCAGCTTGCAGCACTGGGAGCCCTCTGCTCCTCAAACAGAGCTACAAAAGGGATGTGGAGACCAATGGTTGGCACTAAGAGAAAAATCAAACTAGCCCAGTCTGCCAGAGAAGATAACACAAAGAGAAGATGAGGAAAGCATTACTAAAACAGTTGGGAATGCTCAAAGTGAAGAAACTGGATAATTATCAACATAAGACCTGACTCTCCTGTCATGCTGGTTTTACGATAGCGTAATTCTGCTGACTATGAAAGACTTGCTTCTGATTCAGAGTGAACTAAGCACTCCGTGAGCATCGTGATGAGCATCATGAGAAGGTCTGAGTTTGCTGTTGATCCTGGTACACCTCTGTGCTTGAGTCATGAACTGGCATGACAGTCAGAGCCTGAGAATACTTGGCTCTTCCTCACCCATTCTCCTGACTAGACGAGCCAAGCCTGCATTCCATTTGTGCTCTACACAGGGACCAGTTCAGCTCCTTTTGAGGAAACCTATGATTGAAGCACACTTTCTTTATTCTCTGCAACACAGAAACAAAGCTATGCCCTGGCTAGTGAGGTCCTTCACCTGGCTCCTTACTCTTGATGCCTCCCTTGTACTAGCACCAGAGCTGGCCATGCATAGGCAAGCAATCAAGCTGATCAGAGTTTCAGGTGAGGTACTTTTCAACTGGGTCTGCTTTCCCATATGAATCATCTTGAATCACATCAATGTTCATGTCACCACAGAAGAGGCAGTACCTGGCAAAAGTGGTTTGTAAGGGTTAGGACAGGGAACTTAACGACCTTTTCAAGTGCCAGCACAAATTTATGCCAGAATAAAGCAACAAATAAAGCAAAAAGCTTAGTAAAATGCAAATATTTCTTACTTTAGCTTTTGAGCAAGCTTCTGTGGCTATAATTCTACTAGTGCCCTAGGGACACTGATGGATTCTGCCCTGTTTGAAAGTCCCACAGCAAGAGCATTTCTTCTGCTTGCTTCAGGACAGTTGCTTGTCTTGAGCAGCAATGTCATCTACTCTTACTTACAGCCATGCTGTACTAGTAGCGGGAATGCTAATGAATACCATGCTATTTTTTTACCTTCTCCTTTCTGGTTCTGGCTGATGGGCCATAAATTCAAAAGAATTAGTCAGCCTGAGCGTGCCATTGCCAAATTCTATTTTAAAGTGGAATTTCCTCCAGGAATTTAATATGAACTGTTTTAGACCTCTGTCTCCCTTTACCCACATTAAACAACACCTCTAACAAACGTGGCTTCTACTGAAAATAAGCACACATTGAATGTGTCATGTATAAAGGCAACCAAGGCAATCATTTCAGATTAAAAAAGCCAGAAATTCTAAGGGTTGTTTATTTTTGCATTGCAGGCATATCCCAAGGCAAGTAACTCAACAAAAGGATTTCCAAGAGCCAGCTTTTATCTAGAGGACATGAAATGGAAGCGTTAATAGCACCAATATATAGGTGTCAGTGTCACTGTAATGATGGCACTACAAGTCAGAGGCTGACACCTTAATAAAAGAAAGCGTCAAAACTGTAGAAATCAAGGCTATCAGATTTTCTTCACTTACAAAAACAGGTCTGTAATGCATATTCAAACGTTCAGCTGAAATGTGCAACTATATTTAAGGTCACAATTAAAATTCACCTCTCTTCACAAAAAAAAAAAAAAAAAAAAGTGTGGAACTGTCATGCCAGCATCATCAGGATAGAAATAACATGAGTAAGTAGAATAGGTTATCTACCCCAGGTGATAGGAGTTCATGGTATATGAGCCACCTGTTTCCACAGAGGTAAGGCTCTTTCTCAGAAGACGATGTTTCCAATGCTTAAGGTAGAGTTATCTTGAGACCAACATTTTTTTTTTTTTGTAATGAATAAATCAAATAAATCAGGGGTTTCAAAACATTCACAAATCTAAGTAAAATGCAATCTAATCAAAAAGGGATTTTAACTCTAAAAGGGTCTCTTTTTTTCCCCCTTTATTTCTTTTTTTTTTTTTTTCCCCTTTTTGATCTGTGTTGTTCTTATTCCCCCTGACCAGAAGGTTTTGGACTTCAGGACGCTCACTTGAAATTTTGAAAATGAATGAAGCAAAAGAAAAGCAAAATTATATTTTTTGGTAAGAGTTTTTGTACAGCAGTAAAATTCAACAGATTTAGGATGAATATGTTTCTGTATGCTTTCATTAAGTCTTTCACTAAAAAATTATAGTTTATTTTCCGTGAGACAAAGAAATTAATTACTCTCAAACAAGAATAAATTGATGGAAGTTAGGATCTTCACCCAATCTGAAGTTGAAGGACTACTGTTAGCAATATGACTAAGTATGTGCGATTTTCTGCTCTTCTCAAGGAAAAATGGACACATCGAATTGAGGCAGACTATTTGATCATTTTCCCTGACCTTTGATGCTAGTGTTGATTTCAGTATGGAAGTCCCCTGCATTCAGGGGGCTTTGGTCTCTGCAAACCAGAATTCACAAACAATGGTAATTTTCTCCAATGCAGGGAAATAAATAAATCAATAAACGAGCAGCTACAAAGCCAAGTGACCTTACTTGGTCTAAAAGCATTGACTTCAGGTATGCTAGAATGAGGTTGTTCCTGCCTCCAGAGCAGTTTTCAGAAGCTCTTTGCAGCCTTGCAAGCATCTACAGAAGCTCTTTGCTCCACAAAACCTCTAGTGTGTCTGCAGAGCACCTGAACTGAATTGCTGATGCAAGCCATTTTTGTGCTCCTCTATTGATAACACCTCCCAGAAACAGGCAAAAGCACAAACTGGGTGTGTGAGGGGTTGTTTTCCTGGTCTGCTATGCAGACAGCTTTTTTTGGTGCATGCCCCTGGTTGGTTGCTCAGAAAAAATGCAGGCGCCCCTTCCTCCATCACTGTGTGCTGTACTTGAAGAGTGCTTGTGGAAAAAATGCCTGTCATTTACAAACCTAATGGACATGGAGGTTTTTCCAAAATTGAGGGAACACTGTTTAGGGTAATTCAGTCAGATTGGAACCCATGATACATCAGCCTTCATTCGAATGAAGATTTGATTGCAATCACCTCTGCAATTACAGAAATCAATGCCAAGATCTTTGATAAACGCAGAAATGGCAGTATAGCAGAAAAGTGGCATGTTTTGCAGGTAGCAAAGACCATTCTAGCCTCTGCACCATGGAACAGTTTGAAGCTTTGTATGAAGGTGACACCTACAAGAGCAGCAAGTGGAGAACTGCAGGCATAACACATCACCCCGCTGCACAAGCTGTGTAACTGTTCTGGTAAAGTATGACTTACTCTGGATATATTTCTAAAGTGAGAATCCGCTCTTCCATTTGAATATATATTAGAAAAGAAAGCAGGGAATGAAAAAAAAACTCCTTTATGTGTTCCCACACTGCAAATGGCTTCTACATTGGTTTCCAACAGAACAATTAAGTTTCAGCTTGGTTTGGTTTATAGCTAAAAAATTAGTCCTGAGGTTTATTTGAATTTAACCTTTTTCTCCCAGCTCTGAATATTGCACTGTGTAATTCTGGAGATAATATACATATATGTGTGTGTATGTATGTATATATAAATAATGAAGGCACTAGGTTCAGTTTAAAAAAAAAAGTCATGGATTTCATAGAACTGTAAGTGGGTATTCTGTTAGTCAATGTACTCAGATTCAGGATTTTCTATGGCTTTCACATATCTCAGCACCTCATAAAGGCTAATCAATTTATCTTTACAAAACCAGGTGCTGTAGTCTGGTTGCCCTTGGGCTGCATGCTCAACCCGTCCCTCATAGTAACTCATGCCTTCCCTCTCATTTGTTGTTTTGTGTACCTCAGCCACTGCAGAGCCTTAGCAGGATCTATTAGCTGTAAACAAGTTAACCCTCTGTCAAGGCTCCTGTAAGACAGAGCAGAGCTATTACTCCCAACAGGCACAGAGACATTGAGCAACTTCTTCAAGATCAGAAGGAACATTTGT